ACTCAAACATATCCAGGTTAGGTTGAACCAGCTTCGTAGTACAGGCCTCTGAAGTCTGGTGCTGTTTTGACCATTTGCATAGGTATCACGACAACATCGTGTTTTATGGCGAGGGATGCGTTACCATGATAACACCACATTACGTAACATCAGATTTGATGTAGAGCTGTTCAGGGCCACAGTGTTAACCATCATGTGATGTTTGGTGGCGTTCTGAGCATGTCAGGTGGAGTTATGACATCATCATGTCATATCTCCAACACACAGGTGTATGTTTGAGCTAACAACGTTATGAAACACCTGTGCTTGAGCCCAGAGATCAAAGGTTTCCATGGTGATGCAGTAATCAGTGAGAGGAGAGCCTTTCCATTGTTCTGAATGAGAGATAAACTATGGGCTCAGAACAGTCTCATAATACACACATGCACACAGAAGGATTCACACTTGTATTTCATGATCCGCAAAAGGATTCACACTTGTATTTCCGGATCCACACTTGTGTTTTTCAACGCACACACAAATGTGTTCCGTTTCATATACATGTAAATAAAATCCAAATACAGAAAAAAGTTTTACATATGTATTTTTGATCCTCACATATTTGTTTTCCGTTTAAAACCCCTGAACCTACAAACACAAACCGCTTTCTGTGCATGGATCGCTGTGCATTCGTGTGTGGGTTTTTTGAGACTCCCCTGACGGTCACCCGATTCGTACTTGTAATTTTTTCTATCTATAGCCAATCAGATGTCTCCTCAATTCTAAGCCAATCACATGAGCGCGCCCCCACGAGGGTAGATTTCTTGCGTTCATGTCACTTCATATACGCATTTTGCGTAGTCCGGAGCAGGGTTTCCGCAGACAGAATTTAATTTTACCGGACAAATTTGAAACTTACCGGTCATGTTTCAATAATAATAAGAATAAGAATAAGAATTGTGTAGCAGCGTTTCCGTTAGGTAATTACCGGACTATGACCGGATAATAACACAGGAGTAAGGATCATCTCTTTTCCTCTCTCCCTCCCTCTCTCCTGACAGCCCGTCAGTTTCTCATGCAGCTCGCTAAAACTTCACTCGCGTTTATGTCCATATCGATCAGATCCAGCTCTCCTGATCGGCCTTTATAGAGAGCACCGATCAAACTATTAAGAGTGAATATCGGCCGATAATGACCGGCGGGGCTCCCCCCGTTGACAGTTCACTGTCTAGCACTGGCTTCGTAGTGCACTGATCGATTAGGCTAAGCTAACCTGTAGCTGCTCCCTCCACACTCACAACAACTTCATACAGACATAAATAAAGCAGCTGTATTCGCCATACAGGAAACACACATTTAAAACAGTTTTGCCTGCCGTTTTTGTGTACACAAGCATTCATTAATGGTTCGGAAAGTGGCACTGTACCTTAATAATATAAAGGCTTGTATTTACGTGCATTTCCTGCTCGGAAAGTGGCAATGTACTGAGAGTGGAAGTGTCCTGAGATTAGCGCCTGCAGGCAGGCTCCATGGACCTGTCAGCTCCGGACAGCGCAAAATGCGTACATGAAGCGCTACGTCATGAACGCAAGAAATCTACCCTCGTGGGGGCGCGCTCATGTGATTGGCTTAGAATTGAGGAGACATCTGATTGGCTATAGATAGAAAAAATTACAAGTACGAATCGGGTCACCGTCAGGGGAGTCTCAAAAAACCCACACACGAATGCACAGCGATCCATGCACAGAAAGCGGTTTGTGTTTGTAGGTGCAGGGGATTTAAACGGAAAACAAATATGTGAGGATCAAAAATACATATGTAAAACTTTTTTCTGTATTTGGATTTTATTTACATGTATATGAAACGGAACACATTTGTGTGTGCGTTGAAAAACACAAGTGTGGATCCGGAAATACAAATGTGACTCCTTTTGCGGATCATGAAATACAAGTGTGAATCCTTCTGTGTGCATGTGTGTATTATGAGACTGTTCTGAGCCCATAATAAACCTCTTATATGTGAAAGTTTTGTTGAAGAACCGTAACAGATATCAGTGAAATTTCAACGCGTGAAGCATCTCAAGGACCCTGAGCATCTGAAGTGTGCTTTTTGTGTACTTTTGGGTCAATAATGTGGCCTTTTTGAAAGGCCAGAAAGTCTGAATAGACGGGCAGACCCATAGGCAGTGAAGAAGAGTACTGCATTTAACACATGAATTTGGGATATTTGGATCAAATTTGTAACAAGACCTGTAGAGTTGTTTAGACCTTGTTCTAGAGACATTGTGATAATATGGGGTTTCACTGACGGCTAAACCATAGACATACTTTATCTGATTTCCTCCTATTCAGAGAGGATTATATTTAATAAATATCATCAAGGACTAATTAGCTTTTCTCAGTCTATAGTGAAATAACATATGATTAACCCACACACTGCTTTTGAGGACAACACATATTTCAGTATTTGAATAATGCAGTGTGAATCCTTACTGGCACACTGACACATATTTTACACTCAATGCACCAAAGAGAATCAATGGAGGATTTAGATGGCATACAAAGTATAACAATTAGGATACATTTGAAATAACAATGTTTCATATAATACACATTTACAGTACAAAGGAGTTAAAATCTCCTTTTTACTTTTTTATGTGTGACTACCTGGATTTGAGAAGCCATGCATTTCACTTTCTGATTAAAGTATACAGTAATACACCAGTGTTGTACTGACAACAGTTTAAAAAGCTGTACCACCTTCATGACAGTATTGGAACTAACTAAGTTTGAACAAACGCTGCATTACATATTTTACAAAAACATTTTTTCAGTGTTTACGTATAACACATTACAATATGTCAGTTCCAGATTTGTCTCATTCATTTGTGTAATTCAGTCATTATGAGTGTAAGTAGGGATCAGCCTGTCATTGAGTAAGCTAATTAACGTGTAGTAATCAGTGTTCAATCACAGTGGAAGCCTTGCAGGCGCTCTGTGAACTTGGCAGGTTGTAAGAGGACTTGGCATGGCTCTCTCCCGGCAGGTGTAGTGTGTAGTGTGTCTGACCAGCCTGCCTGCTGTTACCCTCATTTCACCTTATTAGCGAACATGGATTTTGTTCTCCAGGTAAAGAGCGGTACAGAGTAGGAGGCAAAGTCGTACTACTTTCCTAGATTAACTTACAGTGAGTGATGTATTGAAAAATATTAGCATACTTTAAATGCTTGTGACTTGCCAGACAAGACTGAAACTGAAGAACACGACGCACCCGTCAGTCGGATATCCTCATATTCTGTGACTCACTGAAAGGCTTTTAGAGCAGGAGAGGCTCTGCTGTTTGTTGTGTAGTCCATTGTGCACTGTGACCTCATCATCATGCGTCCTGTTGACTCATTGTTCTCCACACAACATTCAACTGTTCACCATCCACAAGACAAGTTGTTGATGTCATAGTCGGTATGCGCCTGTTCATAGTGTCAATATTTACCAGCAGTCCTGTGAGAGTGAGCGAGTGAACAGTAAGTGCTTGTGCTTCTTACATTTCATTATTTAACAGAACTTCATACTTTAAGATTTACTCACAGAAATACAAATCTTTCCTATTACCTGTACTGCTTTTATCAATCTTTAAAATAGTTTTGGTGTGAATTGCTAAGGGTTGGAGGTATCGGTAGTGATGTCTTCATTTTGAAACTATGAAACAATGAAACTAGATGAATTTAGAAGCAAAACTTATTTCTTGAACTCATGACCCGGTTACTTTGGATAATCCACAAACCTTGTTGTGAACATTTTCATTTCTGAACTATTTTCTTTCTACCACATCACTGCACAGAATAAAGTGTTCATCCACTCATGGACGAATGCCTTGATGCTGCGATCTTGATTATTAGAAAGTGCCACAAGAGAAAAAAATATGTATTTTAATATTGTCGTGAACGGCCCCTTTAAACACCATCCGCTAAAGTATCACGGCAAGTTTAAGCTGCCTCCTATTCTCTGTGTGTCTATTATCCACAGTTATGAACTTTGAGGTTAAGGCTGATAAGATGGGTGCAGGCAGTGGCCTTTGTTGCTGTCAGGGAGAGATGCCAGCATGTTAGGAGCCATTCTACGTCTCAAATGAGAACAGACCCTTTTCTTCTGTTGCCTCATGCCTCGCAAGCCTAATGCCTCAAGCCCTGTTAGTGCTGCTTGAATGGACTTCATGAATGGCCTGTCCTGGTTCTCTGTGTGTGGGCCACCATGGACTTGTGGGGCATTTGTATGCTTCAGTCTACTGTATATCATCTCTGTTTTGCCTTTTGTTGTAGGCATTCCTCATAAGCACCCTGGTGTGGAGATTGAACAGCTAGAATGTGACCCTATTAGTATCTGGGAGGAAAAACACGGCAGTTTAACCAGTATTTAGTTCCTGAGATGAGATATAGCAACCGATTGGGGCAGTTGTGTGTCAGCTATTTCAAAAACATACAATTAGGAAATTGTTTAAATACCCATTCAATGATCACTAATCATAGATGACACGATTGATTATGAAGTTTTGAGCCATGACTTGTCCTGAATCACCCGAGTGGTCCTGCTATTAAAATATATCTAACTTCCTCTTATCTTAAAAAAGATTTGACTTGAAATGGTGAGGAATGACTTGATACTTATCATAACAAGACATATTACAATATTGAAACACTGCTTTTATAAGACTTGAGACTTGACTTTGACTTCTCTTGCAGTCATTCTGACTTGCTATAAGACTTGAAATGTGACTTGGAAGTATCTCTTACACCGTAATACTTGCTTTTGATGCCTAAAGACTCGACTTGCTCTGAAGGACTCAAAGCTCAAGACATGATTTTACAAAACTTGACATGGATTTGTTTTGAATGAGTTGAGAGTGTCCGGGATTTGTCTTGTTAGACTTTCTATCAGCATTACCAAACTTGACTTGGAGTTCTACTAACTGTTTGAACGTGTATTAAACCGATTAGTGAGACTCCCTCTGTTGTGTTTCCCCCTCAGAGCGAGTGACCCCACTGAGCTGCCACCATGGCCCTGGTTCAGGCTCTGCCCTTATCTGCTGAGTCCCACAACCCAGGCCTCGGTGGAGGACATCACAGGAGACACGCCTCCGGCTCCTCACCCCCCATCAACGCTCCCCCCTCCGCTCTGGATTCTATGGGTTCTGTCAGCAGCCTCATCGCCTCGCGCCCCGGACACTACCAGGACCACCGATCTGTGGGAGAGCTGGGAGCCAGGGTCCGGAGGGCCACGCCTGGTGCTGCCTGCCTGGGCTCTGAGTCGCCCCCAGACTCTTTATTACAGCACTGCATCGAGAAGGAAAGCTCCATGATGTCCATCAGGGGGCTGGAGAAGGAGAGTGGGAATGGGAACTTCACATATCTGAATGAGGACTTTATAGGCGACTGGAATGACAACCGTGTGACATGTGGGAGTCCAGGAAGTGACGCATATGAGACTAAAGGATCAGGGTTCAATGGGAACATGGGGGGGCCTCCTCCTAAACTGATTCCTGTGTCAGGGAAACTTGAGAAGGTGAGTCTTTGAATAAATACATTTTAGTTCACGGATACAATTTTAGAGAGCATTATATTTTGTATAACCATGAGATGTAATCTGTGGTTCTTTTACACTGTATTGCATTATACAGAGAGGTGTCTAGGTTTAATACACCTTCTGTCAGTATAACAGACTTCATAATAACACAAATGTTTGATATATTGCAGCACTATTGCATTAAACTGCATTCATTTTAGTGTGGTGTGCCCAATACACTGGCAACTCTATTTATAGTATATTTCTGTTCTTCGAAACTTTAAAGGGGGTATATCCACTAAGGAATGCAAACAATACTGCATTAAAAAAAAACATACAACTTACAACATTGACAACAGTGACCAAACCAGAGATATTCTGAGTTTCCGTGTGTTAACTATTCATATTAAGCACTTGTTATTAGTCTTTCTTTCTTATCTCAGTATTTATCATATTTGATATTCCTCCTCCAGAACATGGAGAAAGCAGTGCTGCGGCCCACTGCCTTCAAACCTGTCATTCCCAAGAGCCGTACCTCCATGCAGTACCTCTCCCCTCGCCACTCTGCCAACACATCGGAGAGCCAGAACAACCTGAACCTGCTGAGCCCCTCACACACAGAGCTGTCTCCCTCCAGCTCGGAGAAAAGCAGCTCGCACAGCAGGACCCGTAACAGCGGCAGCAGCAGCCACTCCTGCCAGCTGACCGACTCTGGACGCAACTCCCTCTCCAGTCTCCCCCCTTACAGCGGGGGCTACAGCCAGGCGTCAGGAGAGGCCTCTGCAGGCCACCTGGAGCCCATGAAGAGCGCCCCGCCTGTCGGTGCACACGGACACTCCAACTCCGACAGCGGCCGCTCGTCCTCCAGTAAGAGCACGGGCTCCGGCTCCATAAGCTGCCGGGGCCAGCCTCTGTCTGACAGCGGGTCCAGCGGGCGCTCCCCCGGCCCGGTGGAGGGGTACGAGGGGGTGGTGAGGGACCTGGAGGACAAGCTGAGGGAGAGGGAGCTGGAGCTGCATCAACTCAGAGACAACCTGGATGAGAATGAAGCTGCAATCTGCCAGGTTGGTACACACTGTCCCTCTGTCCTGTTCCCTAGGGGTTTGCAGTGAAAACAAATGAAAAATCCATACTTATATATTTGTCAATGTTTAATTTTCACCATTTCACTACTATTTGAAACAGGGCGGTAATTAATACTTTGACGCTGTATATAATTGCGAACTCATCCGTCAATAGCAGGACCTTTTAGTTTCGTATCGAAAGTCCTAATGAATATGTTTTGTCTGTGGTTACAGGTTTATGAGGAGAAGCAGAGGCGCTTTGAGCTGGAGCTGGAGGAGCTGAGGCAGGGCTGTGCCACCAGGATGCAGGTCGCCTCGCAGAAGGCCCATCGTGCACAGCAGGTTCTGCAGCTGCAGGTCAGAACCTCTGGGCTGTGGCCAAATAGTCAAAAAAAGACCTGTGTCTTCTCCTAACATTTCCTTGACACTGACACAAAACATTAGAAAGGAAAATTCTTAAGGAAACGACAACAAGGAGAACACGACTGCACTAGGCTACGTAAATGACTAGGGTCTGCCATCTTTTTAAATGTTGCTGTCACAAGGAATTGTGGGACAGCTTCATCTCCTTTTCTTTGGTCCAGTGTACCTTGTGCTAAAGGAGATAAGAAAGGACACCTTTTCCAGTGTTTAGAGAACAGACAGGCTCTTATCATGGCTGCTTAGGTCCTACTAGGAATTGCTAGGGTCAACTTCTGATACTGGCTGTTTCTGACTGCAGGTTTATCAGCTGCAGCAGGAGAAGAAGAAGCTGCAGGAGGACTTTTCTCAGCTTCTGAAGGAGCGGGAGCAGCTGGAGGAGCGCTGCACCTCCTATGAGCACGATAAGATCCAGCTGGGGCCGCGACTGGAGGAGAGCAAGTGGGAGGTGAGCTGCACTACAGGAGTACTAAACTGACAGTTTATACAGTAGTGTAATGACCGCATACAAATGTTTGGGCTGGCATGTTGAAGTTTCTCAGTGCCATCCTTATTGATTTAACCATTACACATTCTTCTTTAAACTCAATATTACTCATATTGCCTTAAACACTGCTATTTTAAACCATCACTTTTACTGTAAAGCTTCACTGTGATATATTTACGGATATGTTTATTCTCCTAATTAAATGAACTGCAGTTGGACAGAATGATTATTAGTCGTTCATTTGTTCACTCAATACAGGAAGTAAAAATGTGTCTACTAGGACAGTTATTTCATGCTTTTAAAATGAAAAGTCAATTGAAATGCAATTTCATAGACAAAACAATGAATCCATTCCTAGACTAAATCATTGGCTGATTAAAGGATAAAGATACCGTCCGTTGCAAGCCTATTTATTTAAACCTTAATATTGATATGCATGAGCACCCCAAAATACCGAAAACGGAATACACATCCTAAACATGTCTCCCCCCCCTCCCCTCCCCTCAGGTGTGTCAGAAGTCGGGGGAAATCTCGCTGCTGAAGCAGCAGCTGAAGGAGGTGCAGGTGGAGTTGGCCCAGCGTGTGGGGGAGATCGTCTCCCTGCGGGGTCAGCTCAGAGAGGCTTGTGGAGAACTGACCAACACCCAGGTCCTGCTCCAGGAGGCCCACGGCACCACCCGCACACGAACCCTGGAGCTGGAGGTGTGCGAGAACGAACTTCAGCGGCGCAAGAGCGAAGCAGAGCTGCTCCGAGAGAAGGTGGGACGCCTTGAGGGAGAGATGGCTCACCTCAGAGATGCTCTGGCCAATCAGGGGCCAGGAAACAGACAGTGTCAGGTGTTCCACGAAGCAGAGGAACACATGCTCGCATACGAGAGTGATGAGGCGAAGGCCCAGCGGAAGAGCAGCAGCGAGGCCCTGCAGAGCATGAAGGTGCAGATGGACAGGATGAGGGCGGAGCTGGCCTACGAGCGGCAGCGGGCCGAGCAGCAGGCAGGGGGGTTTGAGGAGGAGCGCAGGGTATGGCAGGAGGAGAAGGACAAAGTTATCCGCTACCAGAAGCAGCTGCAGCAGAACTATGTGCAGATGTATCGCAGGAACAGAGAGCTGGAGCAGCACCTGCAGGAGCTCAGCCACGAACTGGAGAGCAGAGAGGAGGACGAGGGCAGCGGCAACGAGATCAACTTTGATGAGATCGCCGCCACGGAAATTTAACCTGTGTCTCTCCATCTTTGATTTGCACTACTGTCAGTTAACTATTTACCCCTACATGTCACAGATCTGGTTTCTATTGTGCCGTTTGTTGACATGACAAATAAGCAAGATATCGCATAACTCATTACCATCAATTCTGCCATATTCAAATTCTGCCTCATTGGTCTATTCTCCAAGGAGTCCCACTTAAAAGCCAATGACCTCTATTAGTCATTTGTAGGACACCTCAGTCCTCTGGCCCTTAAATAAAGCTATAGTCCATATCTTTAAGTATGAGGTACTAATAAAAAATCTAAATCAGGAAATCAAATGTTGGAAAAGGGATGGTAAGGTAAAGCAGCTAAGATATTCAAAGTGTACACTTAAAATGATATTGATTTACTTTTGGTGTCTTAAATTCATTTAGCTGCCGGCCCCTTCCCACAGCAGGACCAGGATTAGCCTCTGTGCTGGTTCTCCTGTCCGTTCCTCCAAACTGGGGACGTGTTTCTCCTCATCTATTGTAGGTGTACACTGACTGTGCAAGTACCTCATACAAACCTGCTTGAAACTATCCCAATGATAAGTACCAGGCATTTGTCAGAGAGGTTGTTGCGTGTGAATAACTTCACCAGACCTCCTCCTGAGTTGGTTATGACTCCACCTTCCAGGCTGGCTCTAACACCACCCTCCCACTCTGTGTCAGCTCTGATCAGTGTATTTAGCCCACGCTTGTTGTCGATGGACAGTTGAAGTGAGACGCCACACATTCAGAGTGAGAGCATCAGAGCGAGGTGCTGATGATGGTGAATCCACTCATCATGACCAACAAGTACCAGTAGATGTAGCAAGATGAAATTGTAGGGACCAAAAGCTTTAACTTTTCAGTCATATGGCACACATTTTGTTTTTTTTATAATATAAAGTCTAGTTTGAGGGACACAAAGCTTAGGCCTCCTCCAGTTGAACTCTTATATCCTGAACACTTTACCCTTGATGGTGAAATGATATGAACATCTGTACAGTCTAATGTCATTGAACACAGTAACATCTGGATTAAATACGACCTTAACACCTTCCATTCAGTACACGTCAGAAATCACAAATAAATCACTTTCCTGTAGTGTTTGAGAACCATAATATATGTACAGTAATTATATACTGCAATATTGATAAATATATATGTATGTCATGATATTGTAAAAGTTTAGGTAAATCAAATGTAACAGCAGGCGTTTGGCATGTGATGGCAGCAAAAGAGCAGGTATACTTTATCACAACTGCATTCCCATCACAAGGAATACAACATTACAAAAGGTTGTAAAAGCACAGGAGTTTATAGCATTGTAAAGGATAAATAGAAAAGAATACTTAACTCATAATCTCTAGAAGTATTAAACAATTGGGTGTTTTTGACATTACTAAAGGGAAATTGTGCACTAAATGAAAGGTGTTTTGGTGTTGAGAGACAACTTTGATACGTTTTTCCACCAAACGTTATGATGCGTTTCATGTGCGTTCCTGTAGGACCAAACCAAGATACTGTTTGTGTTCATTTCTGCTGATTGAAAACTCACCCTCTGTAGAGAACCCATAAAGTACATACCTGAGATGCTGTCCATCTCCATAATAAAACATAGCCACTGTGAATAGACCAAAGCAATGTCGCACATGATATCTTGCTCCTACAGATGTGTGTCCTGTATATTGATGCTGTGTGGATGGTCCTTCTGGTTCCTCTCTCTCATTTTATAATCCACAGTATTTGTATGAAGACATAAAACGTTTATTTTCATGCTGTACATTTCTTGAACAAACCTATGTTTTTAATTAAAAAAGACATCATTTAAAAGCTGTGTGGTACATGGAGATTTCTTCAACAACATGAGAGCCTTACAGAAGATGGAAATGACTCTTAATCATCTGAATACAAAACAGTATATCATTCCAATGTTATACATATCCTTTTACATCTGGATGATTTATTCTACAGTTCTCCTCTGGTTCACTTTTAGGCAATGTTTAAGGTTTGTAGTTTGGTGAGGCGTTCACTGTATTTCTCATGAAATGCTGCAGACAACAGAAATGTTTGTCACATGACTGCCCTCTGCAGGTCAGAAGTTACATTACAATGTAACGCTCTGTACTTTTATATTCTACGTTTTCAGGGCTTTTAAAGGCACTGGTTACAATTTGCATTCTGTTATCCTGCACATCTAATCAGATAAACACTTCTGCTCTGCAGTATTTTTCGATTGGATGTTAATACGACAATGTAAAAATAAATGTTATTAACAGGCATTGGCTCCTGGGATGTGATTAAAGTGAAATATTAAGGCATATTTAATGATTTCCAGCTTTAAGGACACAAATAATTGACCGTAAATCTTATTTTTGCTTGTTTGTTTGCCCTTCTTAAGTTCTATAGTACTAAGTAATCTTATGACAAAATTCCTTTTCATTTATTGTATCATTACCGTTTCAAATACCAGTAATCTGCTCTATGCTAAGTTTGTTATTCAGCTTAGAACAGTTACCAGTGTCCATGTAATCAATAACTTCTACAAACTTTAACATGAATGGCAAAATAACATACCTGACCTCTGTGAGCACATCTCTGTGTTCAGGCCGGAGTTCAAGTCTCTGCGTTTAGTCCCAGAAATACATTCATGATGAGAGTCTCAGTCTCCTTTCAAAATGTTTTTGGGGACTTTGACCACAAACACCATGGGGTCTTTGGCCTTGTTGCTGAAGGCTTTTCGGATGATGTCCACAGCGTGATGATGGGTCACGCCCTGCAGGGAGACTCTGTCCACAGACACCAACTCAAATCCAGCCTGGGGACAGCAGAGGGGGGGTGAGAGTCACAGTGAGGTGCAAGGTAGGAACCTCAACATCTGTTTTCATAAACAAATTAAAACTTGAAGGAACATCATTTATATTGTTTATCAAGATTGGATCATTTGATTATTTCAGGAAATATTGGTATTGGAAAGTTCTACAAAGATGTGACCTTCATAAAGTATGGTTTCCATTACACATTGGATGGTTTGATTGTATGAAGTATTGAAAGGGTGTTTAATTTAGCGTGTCACCTTGAGCACTTCACAGGTGGAGGCCGCTCCTCCGGGGAAGATCTTCTCGATCTTCACCACTGGCTGAACCTTGGACTCCATCCCACCAGATATACTGATGCCTGAAACACCAGAACAAGAGTGGAGGTCAGTGAAGTATTTAGATGTGTGTACTTACACTACATGGTGTTCCACCAATACAGGTTAACCATGTACCATGTGCAGTGAAGAGGCTGTGCAAAACATGTATACTACATTTGGCTGGATTTGTCCAGGTTCTTGAAATGTCTGCCTAAGAATTGATGCTCACCAAAAACAAATCCAATCACACTAGGGTTATTGTTTGTTGGGTGGAGACGGTCATCTCAGAGATATATAGAAATATCTAAAAACTTGGACTTAAAAGATTCTCCGTATTATGACCAATCGTACTATTTATAATATAAATGCAATCAGTGGAACACATTTACCCAGTGACTGTTTGGTCTTGGAGATGCTGACAGTTTTGAGCTCGTACTCCTGTTCAGACTCAGATCCGTTGAGTCCGTTCTCAGAGGAAGCCTGGTGTCCGTTCATCTGTTCCCCCCCCGCTCGCTGATCCGGACTCGATCTGAAAACCTGCGACAACAAGGGGCGACTCCTGCGCGCCGCACTCTGCAGCGTGAACACGCCTCCTTTACTCCTGTCTCCACTTTTCTCCTTTTTACCCGCGGAGTGTCCGTTTCTGAACGGGGACCTGCCTCTCTCTGAGGAGGTGTCTGAGGCAGAATGCAGCGAGACCTCGTCAAAGTGGACGGAGCGAATGGTGCCAATGTCTGTGCGGAGCGGGGGGCGGGGGTGTTCGTTGTGGGCCAGCAGCCAGTTGGGGAGCATGGCGCTGGAGGAGGGCGATCTGAGGTCTCTGGACTCTGAGTCGTATCCGTCCACTGGGATGTCCAGCAGCGGGGTGAAGGACATGGAGGTAGGGGGCCTCTCCCTGGCCCCCCGAGGCCCCTGCATACTGAGCTTCTCCAGCTCGTCCAGCAGGTGGCTCTCCTTCTCCACCTCCTCAGCATTGTGGAGCTCAAAGCCTCCCCTGAAATCTGAAAGGATACGCAGGTTATATACAAACCTTTTGTATGAGCAGAGTTACCTCAGGCTGTGGTTACACATTGGGATCTATGGAAGCCTTTATATAAAAATGAATGCAGGATAAAAATAAATACTCATGGCTAATCAGATGTATTAGACAGTAAGACATTATTCTGCTTGAAATACTTGATTTAAAATGTAAACACTATTGTTTCGTAGCATTTTCTTCATTTTGAATTGAGTATTTTTATTCTTGTCACACCTTACTTCAAGGTACGTTTTTTTTTCTTTGGCAGAAATAGCCTTCGATAGATATAATATCTCCCTCAGAACACTATCACTCTAATTCTAAGAAACAACTGCAGGAAAACCCTTTTATAGAAATAAAGTGAAATTAAATCAAATTCAAGCAAGGTTTTTCTGAATCATTAAAAAACCAGGTTATGACTAACATAAAAATAAAAGATGTATTTAGAGCTGAGATGAAGGGTACTGACCCGGGATAGGAGTGATGAGGCGCCGTTTTGGTACTCGACCAGATGTGGGAGAGCGAAGAAGAGGAGTTTTGACTACAATAAAGAAAGAAAACAATGTTACAAAAAGGAGCCTAAAAAGGACTGTTCAGATATGTGCCAAGTATTTCTCATGCATCTCACGCACTTGAACGATACTTGAGGATATCGTAGGCCTCGACTTCGATCGGGGTCACCAGGTTATTGAATGCATTCAGGTCAGGAGGAGGAAGCAGCATCCTGAGAAACAAGACCACAGGGTATATAATAATGTGTTGCGTGACAAAGGATGTTAAATTAAGTCATCTGTGTCTTATTGTGAAACATTTGGATGTAATAAGATTATCCTTATTCACTTTTCTGGCAGTGTTTGTAATACTACAGTTTCTCTATCTAGATTTACACAGAGTGGAGGGCAGACATCTTAATTTTTTTGTGAATAGAGTTTAATCCACAAGTATTTTCCTTTTCCTTGCTCTGCTTACCGGACTTCTCTGAGCAGCAGCAGCTTCTCCGGTCTGTCCAGCACGGCCAACAGGTGGCGTATCAAGTTCTCCACCGATCGATCCGCCACGTACTGAGGGTAACATTCAAAAAATAGTACCCAGTTTATAATTACTCAGAACCAATGTGAAATCTGTTTTTGTGATTAAAAACTGCAAACAAAGACTGTTACATGGCGAGTCCAAAGGTCAGCAAATGTAAAAAACGACATTGTCTCAGTTTATTTTCATACCCTTCGGCACGTCTTCATCACAGCGGCCACCTCCTCCTCCGTCAGCAGCCTGCGGGCCATGTCCTCCACCACTCCTAGCATCTCTGAATTTGGCATTACACTGACATGTCTGCCCCCTGAAAACAGCACAGAGAACAATCAGTCAAAAAGTCATTCGGTTTTGTTTCGAGAACAAGAGGTAAAAACTACTTTTACCAGCTTTGTGTGTGGACGGCGACTTGGAGCGCCCCCTGCGCCCCCCCCTGAAGAGCAAGTTGACAAAAGTCTTGGAGCGCTGCAGGACGCTCTTCTCTGGGTGCTTCTCTTTCTGCTTCTTCTCTTTCTTCTGCTTGATCTCTGTGGTTGGATAGCAACAGTCATTTATGAGGCCTTATTATTCCATCATTATTTCATCGTGTTACCAACTCTTCCTACTCCTCACCTGCCACAGTGACCTGACTCTGGGAGCGGCTGATTGGTCGGCTCGGTCGGCTGAGGGCCATCAGCACGGCTGTCTTCGGGGACTCTGTGGTCCCCC